AGAGAGGTCACCTTGGCAACAAAGGCATTTGTGCTTATGTGGGGAAGCTGAAAGTGGCATCATCTGACACAGAGGAATGAAAGTTTCAAAGGGGCTGAAGCTGTTCTGTTCAGGGGCCATTTTCCTCTAGTCCAGGAGAAAGAAGCAATGCAGCATTAGCCATGCACTGAAGCCTGACCCAGCCCAAAGAATGTCCCAGAGTGGTGAGGAAACTGAGGTAGAAATATGCATGATGTAATGTTTATTGGTTTATATCTTCTGTACTCTCCTGTGCCTTATATGATTAAGTATAAAATAACAAATGTGTTAGACACTGAGCAAAGTCTGTGTGTGAGATATGCTTCACAACTGCTGCATGCCCCTAAGAAAGTTAAACTGTAAACCAGAAGCATCACACCTTGAAGTGGAGTCCTGGGACAGGGTGTGTTTAAATACACAGGAGGCTGAAGTACCTCGACAGTGGGGTCTACCTTTCAGATGAGAATACCAGACAGAAGGTCTGTGCCCCAAGAGTGTACCTAGGGACCCCAAGATTGAGCAGTGGCTGGATTCTGTTGAGGCTCCAAGAGCTTAAAGCACCTGGGAATCCAGAGCAGCAAAGCCTGGATTTGCCTCACAGCAGTCCTCGAGAGTGGCTGGAAGGGGGTGCTCGCTAAGTTCTGTGACAAACCTCTACCCTTACTCCTTGCTAGAAGGAGATTCCTAATAATTTAAATCAATACAGTCTCTGTTCCAACATCCTGCTTTGACACCAGACTGACAGAATCTGAAAAACAAGTGTCCCTGGGCATCTGTGAAAACCAAGTGTAGCTGAGGTGGCCATTCAGTACCTTCTCAACAAGCCTTCATTTTTGGGGAAGGTGGACAGTCCTGACAATAACTAGTAAGGTGGTCAGTATCCAAATTTGAAGGTTTAATCATTTCCTGTCTAGCCATGGCTTGCAAGCCTCACCAATATTGGGCCTAATGTCTCTCTGCTGGTTTTATCCAGCTATTGCGAACCTTAGTCCATCTCTCAAATGGTTAATTGGTATTCTACAAGCCCAACTGAAACTTCACTAAGCAAAATTGCAAAAAATAAAGATGGTGCATTTCTTTTGACACTTTTTCCACAAAATTATAAAGCCCACTTGAATTCTATCAACTTATCAATGACGCAAATGGTCAGTTTCCTTCAGGGACATGTGACTGAGCTGAAGCAGCCTAGATGATTCACATTGCTCTCAACTTGGAACGATTCACCTGGTTGGGATTTTGAGAGATTTGCCCCTTTGGCTTTGAAAGAAGTGAAGAACATCCCCCCCACCCTTGAAGCAACCTTCCATCCCAGTCCTCAGGTTGGGTGCAAAATTGATACAGAACAGGAGGACTGCAAAAATAATTTATGGAGGGGTTCAAGAGGTGCAGAATTAATTGATGTGGGGCTGCAGAGGTTGCACAATTAATTGATTGGCAGTTATGGTTTTGGGGAGGAGCTGGAAGATGGCACACCATCAGGCAGTGCTTTAATGCAAGATATTGGCAAGTATGCAATAATATTCTGGCCTTTTTACCTCTGAAGGAACCAGGATGTATAGAAGGGTGTGAAATGAACTATGGGGAAAGGTTTGCTGAATTGTGCTTGAATGAAAGTTCAGTTTGTGCTTTGTGAGAAGATTCATTTTCATTTTACCCAATCTGCTTCCCTATCCCTAATTCTGAGATTGGTGGTTTGAGCAAATAGAGTTTTCCTGTAACTGGTAATTTTATTATAAGTAATATATTAAAATAAACTACATATATGATTAAAATATTGAGTGCTCATTATCCAGTCATCATATCCATTATGTTATACTTTTTAAAGATAGTGAATTACTATATTCTTAATTAAGGTATTTGTGATTTGGGACACCTATTTCAAACCACTACAAATGCACAGATTGTGTTGTGAGGTGAGAGAGTAAAGTTGAAGCCATATGTTGATTTAGTCAGAGAAGTTCCTATAACATGAAGCAACTCGTGGACAGTAATATGCAGTACTGGAATATAATGAATAATGCATGTTTTAGATGTGGCAACTTCATTCTAGTGATGTATGAGTGCACAGATACTTTAAAGCAGTTTAATCATCAGAAAATTATTGCTCATTAATGTGTTCATAAGGTGATCGTGATATTAAGTTAATGGTTCTAAGCAGTTCATCAGATAATTTATGTTTCAATGTTGTCACATACTACTTCTAAATGACCAGACATGGCCTTTCCTGAGAAAATGGACAGAAGCGCAATTTAGTCAAAAGTTACTGTGAGCACGGTTCGGTGAACATATTTTGCCTAATTTCAAACTCATTTGAACACTGTGGGCCAAATTTACCACAAGTGTAAATGAGAGCAACTCCACTGAAACCAATGGTGTGTTCTGTTTATGCCAGTGTTAAATGTGGCTATGTGTATTCAAAATTAAGAGCAGAATTCAATCTTTTTGAGTTCACAGTTTATTGGGAAAGAGCATCTGGTCAGTTCTTGTCTGTTACTGAACTCGGCTCCTGCTCCAGCAGCTCACACTCCCTCCTCTCTGCTATGCAGGGACAAAAGAGAGAAGGAGCCCTCTATTCCTGCCAGGAGAGGCAGATAAACACCAACCCAAACAACCCCTTTACTCAGCTCCTGTCAAGAAAAGACACCCTAACAACCCCTGCTTTCATCCCAATGGAAAGTGGAGTGATGTTGCTAGTGGAAACACTTCCCTTATGACTTCTACTCCCTAATAGGGCCTAAGTCCCTCAACAATCATCACTCCTCTCTCATTGTCTGTGTTCAGAGTTTCTTCCAAATCCAGAAAGGCTCTTCTGAGAATGGGTGGCCCACACACTCAGAACCAATATGCCAACCACCAAGCAGTAGGACTGTGGAAATATGCTTTCTTGCCCTGGTGTCCAGTTTCTGTCCAGGCGAAAGAAGTCAAACAAACTGCATCAGAGAATCTACTTGCTAATGTTATCTGGCTGTAATACAAATTTCCAGAAATTACTCAGGCTACACAGACTCATAGAAAATTAGTGTTGGAAGAGACCTCAGCAGGTCATCTAGTCCAACCCCCTGCTCAAAGCAGGATCAACCCCAACTAAATCATCCCAAGTGCTATAGTGGCGCAGCTGCACCAATGCAGCTGCACCACTGTAGCGCTTCTGATGAAGACACTCTATGCTGATGAGAGAGAGCTTTCTCATCGGCTTAGTTACTCCACCTCGCACAACAGATGGTAGCTATGTCAGTGGGAGAAGCTCTTGTTTGAAAATTTAATAAGTGGGTGATGGAGGCTGGCATCATGGCCTGATTGGAGGTGGGAGTCAATAACTTGATAGTGAATGAGGTGTTAGGTATGGTGAGGACAGGCATTAAAAGTCCTTGTAAATTAATCCAAGTAGCTTCTGTCTGATGCAACAGAAAAGGGGGAGCCAGTGGAGGGATGCAAAG